GTTTTCTTTTCCGTTAGAAAGTATCTGGAATAGAACCCTCTTCCCCTGAACTGATCGGGGACCCTCTCTATTGCTCCGATATCCAGGAGGTGATGAGCTTCCTGTTGCAAGAGATTTTCGTGAGATGGGTCCCTGAAAAGGGACGGGGAGGGTGGGGTGGTGGGGGGGATGGAGACGAAGGGAATGGTGAAACCGCTGTTTATGACTTCCAGAACCCATTTGTCCGATGTTATTTCGACCCATTGGTGATAATAAGGTCGTAAGCGGTGGTGGAAAATGGGTTTTGCCAGAGTGATTGGTAGTGTGCGCTTGCCCTCGACCAGGGAGTCAAACTTGCTGTTTTGAGGCAGGTGTGCCCGACATTCTAGGTGGTGGTGGTGGACGCCTTCGTTGAGGGCGCTGTCTTGATCGCGATTGATCGAAAGGGCGATTTTGCTGCCTCCGAGACTGATAATCATACCGTCTCTGGTATGGGAAATAACGCCGGCGACGGAATGGTGGTGCGTACATGCCGAGCGTACGAAGCATTGTTCTTGAGTCTTTCCCCGTATGAAGGACCTCGTCTGTTTTTTCTGCAAACAACTTTACCTTATCAAAGGGAAGGTCCTCTACCTTGGAGTGCAGCTCCTTAGGCACCGCCTCCGTGGCGAGCCAGGAAGAGCGCCTCATTGACACCGCTGTTGCTACTCCCCGCGCTGCCGTATCAGCTATGTCCATAGCTATCTGGAGGTTAGCCTTTGAACATGCATAGCCCTCCTTGAGGATAGATCGGAGCAGTTCCCTGTCCGCCTCTGATGATCTCTGGGATAGCTCAGTAAGCTTCGCTATACTATCGAAGCTGTGATTCGCCAGGAGAGCTGTATAATTCGCTATGCGAAGGAGCAGCGTGGCCGATGTATAAACCTTCCGGCCAAAGGCATCCAGTTTCTTTGCCTCTTTATCAACCCCCGCATTTTTTAGCTGTGGGTTCTTAGCCCTTTGGAGAGCTGCGTCAACAACCAAAGAGTTTGGCTGCGGATGAGTAAACAGAAATTCTGAGTCTTTAGATGCTATAAAGTAGCGCTTCTCCGCCGGTTTCGAAGTTGGTGGAGTCGAAGCCGGAGTATGCCAAATCGCTGCTGCCGATTGGAGAATAGCCTCGTCCTGATTGGAGAATAGCCTCGATTGCTGCTTAGGGTTTAAGTTTCTCCAGAGCTTAAATTGTTTCGTTGGAGTGTCTAGTATCTGCATATCTTGAGACTGGGCCACTCTCTTAAAAAGCTCTTGAAAGTCCTTTGTGTCATCTGGGGAGATGGGTCCCCTTCAAACACTGCATCGTCAGGATAAGATGACGACATATCTTTTTGGGACGCAGTCCGCAGTTGATCGTCCGTATCCGATATCTGTCCTTCCTCAGGCTCAGATAGTTGTACTGAAGGCGAGCGGTTCTGCTGTCGAGGTGACGCCCCCTTCCAGTCTTGAATTGGTGACAATTGTCGCGCTTCATGAGAAGTATGGCAACAGCAGTGCCGAGAACGATAGTGAGGTCTTTCATATTCGCAAGATGAGCGATTGCGTCTATATTCAGGGTGATCAGGAGATGACCTCCGCGAGGAGTATCTACTGGCATACCCCCTATGATAGGATCTCGGGGGGGAAAAACTTGGTGAACGGGATCTGTATGACGATTCCCGATGATAATGATGATACCGTTCGCGATGATCAGAATAACGAGACCTTGATCTCCATCGCGGAGACATTGGTTGGTTATGCCTAATCCCTGGTGAATGAGAAGGAGAGATTGAAGGCTCAAGTGAGGGTGAAATTGAATGCCTCATTGATGACTTCCTAGCAGCCTTAGTGGGGACTGCAGAGGTAGGAGGAGCCTCCCTCCCTTGTGTTGGTAAAGCATTATTGGCAGAGGGAGGAATAAGAGAGACTGCACCGTCATGCTGTTCTGCTGCCCTGCCCGGCACCGTGGTCAGCTGCTCCTCCGGTGCGGCTGTAACAATAGGCTGATTCGCCGGTGCCGACTCAGCACAGTGGGGGGCGCTCTGCCGGCCCCGTTCACTAAACTCCCCGGTGCCGTCTGTCAGGGCTGCGTCCGGTGCCGGACCCTGTGCTGGCTTGCCCTGGCTTAATGCAGCCATTTGCGGTGCCGCTCGGGTTTGCGGCTGAGCAGACTGCCGCGGCTCCAGCCCTTGCAGCGGTGCCGCGCGCTGCGAGTCATTGGCGCTGTCAGCGGGGCGCAGAGCCGGTGCCGATGACGTGCGGCTTGATGCTGCCGCCTGCGGCTTATGCGACCTCTCCGGCTGTCTTGCGGCCCCGGAGGCCCCTTGCTTATGTCCCTGAGGAACGCGGGACATTGAAGGAGGCGGGAGGGAGCGCGTAGGGGAAGCCCTTTTCTTTTTCATTCCCGTTGCCTGTGAAGACCTTGATCTATTACCTTGCCCTCCGGGAGCTTCTGAGAACTGCTGTTCAGAAGGCTGTAGTGCCTTATCGCAGAGAAGGAGTTTTAAACGCATATCCCTTTCTCTGCGCGCCCTGGGAGTTAATTTTGCGCAGTGAGCACATTTTTGGGGTACATGCGCCTCTCCCAGACATCTTACACAGGCTTCATGCCCGTCAGATGCGGGCATGGCTTCCTTGCAGTGTAGACACCGCTTAAAACCTGGTGACCCAGGCATAATTTTTCTTCTTCTTCTTTTATCCTTTTTTTTTTTTTTTAAGTATTATTATCCAATTCGACTAACTATTTCTATCTGTTTACTTCTTCTTTTCTTTCTTTTTTTTTTTTTTTTTTTTTTTTTTTTTTTAGGAATTGCTCCGCCAGCGACCATGGGCGGCTGAGAGGAACTGACAAGCGGGGGCCGGACCGTTGCAAAGGCGCGAACGCCGCGCGCTGCGCTCGCGCATGCGCGGTCCAGCCCGGCTACGGCTATGGAAAACTTTCCGACCAGCGGCGCCGGGATGGGACCCGACACCTGGAGTGGAGCACCCACGGGGACCACTCGAAGAAGAACTTACATTACAAAGCACCACATTTCTCCCTACAAGTGTTACTGATCCTACAGTAACAGTTACTGAAAAGGGAAGCTGAAACAAAAAACAGGACTGTGTAACACTTTAAAGGCTAACAAGATGGTTTAATAGGTGATGAGCTTTCGTGGGCCAGACCCACTTCCTCAGATCAAATAGTAGAAGAAAATTGTAACAATCATATATACCAAAGGATACAATTTAAAAAAATGAACACATATGAAAAGGACAAATCAAATTTTAGAACAGAAGGGGGATGGAGAGGGGGGAGGTAAATGTCTGTGAGCTAATGATATTAGAGGTGATAATTGGGAAAGCTATCTTTGTAATGGGTAAGATAATTAGCATCTTTATTCAAATTTGCGTGTAAAGTGTCGAATTTAAGCATGAATGACCATTCAGAGGATTCTCTTTGAAGTGAAGTCTTAAAAGGTCTTTGTAGCAGGATGCAGAAAAGGGAAGAATACACTCATTGCCTATATCTGAGTCTAGTAAACATGAAACACTACTATCCAGACAGCTCCTCTCTTCCACAAGTAAAATAAGAGAGAGGGTGAGGTCAGTAGCAATGAAAATAACCCCCAAAGCAGACCTATTAGGGGAAAATAAGGGAAACTCCACAAACAGGGAAACCCTTCACCACCTTCCCTAAATACAAGCAGGATGCTCTTCTAGTTTCTTCAGTGTTCTTAGATGCACATAGTTGCAGCACGTCCTTCTCTCATGAGACCCAATCCAGAGAGATGCACAGTGCTTTCAACTCTATTGACACCAGTGTGGACTAAGGGTACAAAACACTTCTTCACAGGAGTGCTAAGCACCTAAAAGGATTGGATCCATGATGAAGGCCAAGCCTCTTAAAGGTAGGCAATACCCAACTCTTGTCTTTGATCCCTGACAGGGCTCAGAGCATACTTTCTACAGCATACTTTCTACATTTCTATCAGCATACTTTCAGGCAGTGAGGGACAACCCTGCAGTGCAGTGTCTTACATGTGCAAAGGGGTTTATTATTATCCTTGAATTAATGTTATCTGTCCAGTAGCTGCAGTCAGGGAACATTCTGCACAGTCAGGGAACACTCTGCACTGAAGTTCCTATGTTCTAATTAGACAACATTACAGTGTAAAACAACGTAGATAAAGTGTCATAAAGCTTAAGGCTAAATGGGATCATCAGATCACCACATCTGACCTCCTGTAGACCAAAGGCCACCCTGAACTAAAGCATTTCAGTCATCAGGAGACAGGAGACTTGATGAGATATGGATGTTCCCTTAGCAAGATCAAAAGGTAGGAAAATAAGCTAGGAAACCCTGGGAAGCCAATAAACTCCAGCGACAGATATTTACCCATCATACTTACAGTTAGGCTGTGTCTACACTGCACCCCTTTTCCGGAAAAGGGATGCAGATTAGACACTTTGGAATAGCAAAATCCGCGGGGGATTTAAATATCCCCCGCGATATTTGCATTAACATGGCTGTCGCTTTTTTCCAGCTTGGGGATAAGCTGGAGAAAAGCGCCAGTCTAGACGTGATTCTCCGGAAAAAAGCGGCAGCCATGTTAATGCAAATACCGCGGGGGATATTTAAATCCCCTGAGGATTTTGCTATTCCAAAGTGTCTAATCTGCATCCCTTTTCCGGAAAAGGGGTGCAGTGTAGAGACAGCCTTAGTGTGCTGCCTTTTGTCCACTTTTACCCTCATCTTTCTCTTTTATAGCTAGTGATTCAAAGTGGTTAGGACTGCTCTCACCTTCCCTGCTTGATTTGTTGCCCATTCAGTCTTTACTACACCTCAAAAAAAGGACTCCTCAAGTTCCAGGTCTTACTCTTCTAATGTATCACAGGAAAATAAACTCACTGAGAAACTTACCATCTAACCCTTTGGTTGCAACCTGCTCTGGAGGAGACTTTGATGCAGTGATCAGAAGAGGATCAAGGTATTTAGTCTCCACAGGGACAGCATCTGGGTTAAAGTCTCCACAGCAAAATTTCACCATGTTCTTGCCCAGCTTCTCATTCACTTCAGATATTGCTGCAATATACAACTATATTACAACAAGCACAAAGCTCTGGACCACTAGAACAACATTGCCAATACTGTTATTCTTTCATTGCATTTGAGACATTTGCAGTGCCAAGACCAGAAAAACTGGCGACTTAACTGAAATACCAATCCAAGTAACACTCAAATTACCATGACCTTAGTGTCTTAGATCAGCCATGGGACTTTACTGCAAATTTAGGCAAAATTATCCTTTTATCCATTTTTGTCGCATCAGCTGTAGCTGAACAGTGTAGAAGTTTTTCAAGGTCAATGGTTCAAATCCTCAAATTAGATATGTTAATAAACTGTGAAAGAAAGTTTAATTATTCAATAGCCTTATAATGTACCGTGTCCATACACTTACTATCATTGTGTAAACCGCTGGTTCTCAAATGAATTTTTGCTGTGGCTGCATGTGCAGCCACTGCAAATTCACAATAGCCACAGTTTTTGACTGTTAAAATTATACTAGTGACAATTTAATCACAGTCTTGTAAATAAAATAATACATCTTTTCAAAGTAAAGAATATGTACTATTAGTACCAAAAATTTACATGGTTATCACAAAGTATGTCAATGTCTCTTTTCAAAAGTTTTTTCTGAATGCACCCCAAAAGTCATGTAGGCTAAACATGAAGTCCTTGGTGCAGCACTTGAGAATCACTGGCACAGAGGGCACAAAATGTGAAATTAACCAAAGATTATCAAACACCATAGGATAGGAAATGAATATACCTAACATTACAGATAACCTTCCTTTTCTTTCTGTGCACAGGTGTGAAGCTCCTGGAGAAGGAATTTTCTAATTCTCTTTACGACCCCAAGGAGAGCAGACCTGACTAAAGAGGTCAGATGGGCAACTCAGTATCAGGAAAACACTGACATAAAAGACATAATATTTGTAGCTACCCACAATACTACTCCTAATCATCATATTACAGACTCCTCCCCATTTAGTAACTGATCAGCAGTGACTCAGTTCTCCCATTCTGTTCCAAGTGAAACCCAAATGAGGGAGGGAAGGAACCTACCATGTCAACTCAGAACTACCACTGGCTTCATTGAAAGTGTGCTGAAACCTGGTCTAAATAAGAACTTCAGGAGTTGATCCTTAATGTGTACCAATTCTAGGTCTCACCTGCAGCCAGCTCTCCTCCAAAGATCACAGCCTTTGCCCCAGATGTTGTCACACAGTAAACCAAAGAATCCAGGCGTAAATTGAAGTTAATTAGAGCTGCCTCAATACCAACTTTTGCCATCCCAAGCCAGAGGCCTATGAACTCGGGACGGCTCTCCATGAAAATGGCAATGACATCCCCTAGACGGTATCCCTGCTGGTAGAAGAAGTTAGCCACAGCATCGGAATACTCATCCAGCTGCTGGAATGTCCATTTCTCATCACTAGCTTCATAGATTAGGGCCACTTTGTTAGGGTGTCGGCGGACGACATCCTGGAAGATCTTTGGGATAGTGTTTTTGGCTCGCTGATGCTTTTGCAACTCATATTTGACTCGTATCAACACCGAGAGGCCACTGCAGTAAGGAAAAGAAAGTCACAATTCCAGCAGAAATTACAACACCCCTGACATAGTTTAACACATAGCCTGATGCTTCTAATCTGCCATATAAGGTCTGAAATTTTCGATCACTCTCCAGTGACAGGTAAAAAAAAAAATTCCCTGAAGAGTTGGGAGCCCCAATCTATTAATTTCTGCAGAATCTAAGGTTTAACTTTAAAAAGTTTCTTTCTAGCCCTTGTAGTTCAGCAATTCCAAATGTGACCAGTGCAATGTATGTTTCTACAGTTCTTGGGCCTCTGCTGCCTCCAGGGCTCCTCCTGCCACTTCAAAATTAAAGTGAAGAGATTCTAATCAGACAAGATGGGAGAACCAATACCATTTTTGGGTCAACCTCTGCTGGTGAAAGAGAGATGCTTTCAAGCTGATGCAGCTCTTCCCCTAGTCTGGGAAACATACTTGGAGTGCCAATGTTCACCATAAGTCAGTGGTCTCCAACCTTTTCACACCCAAGATCACTTTTTAAATATCAGGGCAAGCCAAGATCTATCTCATCCCTTCCCCCAGATCCCAACCCTTCCTTGAGGCCTCGCCCTCTCTGTTCTCCTCCTCTCCATCACTTGCTGTCCCCAGTCCTTACTCACTCTCACTGAGTTGAGACAGGAGGTGCGGGCTCTAGGGTGGGAATGAGAGATTTGGGTGTGAGAAGGGGTGAGAGGTGCAAGCTCTTGGAGGGAATTTGGGTGCAGGCAGAGAAGGGGATTCTGGCTCAGGGAGGGGGGCTCTAGGCTGGGGACTGTTGGGGTCAGGTGGAGGGCTGGGGTGCTGGGCAAGCCTCAGGCTTGAGGATGTGAGGGTGCAGGAATTTGGGTTGGAGTGTATGAGGGGCTCAGGGCAGGAAGGGTGGGAGTATGATGGGCTCAGGACACAGATTTGCAGTGTGTGGATGGTGCAGGAGTGTTGTGGCAGAAGACTGGGGATGTGGGAGACTCAGGACAGGGGTTCCAGTGTATGATAGGCTCAGGGTTGGGGGATCTGTGGGGGGTAAAAGAGAGTGTTATGATTCTGTGGCCAGATGGTGCCTTGGCCCCTACTGGGGGCTTGTTGGCCAGGTTTCATTTTTAAATAAAATATTTTGTAAAACACAAAACGTTTTAGCATTGTCTGTATTTATGGGAGGAGAACCTAAAATCAGTTGGGGACCACACAAGTGAGTTGCAAAAAAACAATCCCTCCAAACATCCCCCAAGCCTCACTGATGTGGCCCCAAATAAGACACCTCACTCCCCTGGCACTCCAGCTCCATGGGGTGGGGGGATGTAGGTAGGACTGATGTTCAAGGCCTCAGGCCAGGTTAACTCTTCTGGAGTTCCAGAGTTGGTGAAAGTTGTGGGCTCCTCTACACTCTGAGGTAGGGCCAAAAATGAGGGATCCAGTGTGCAGGACAGGGCTGCCAGTGAGTAGAATAGGGGGGGGGTGCAGAATCTGGGTGGAAAATAGGTTACAGGAGCAAGCTGGGGGTAGGTGTCTGGCCAGGAGGGAGGAGGCAGAAGCAGGGTGCTTGTGGATGTCTGGCCAGGGGATAGGGTGCTGGATGGCTCCTGGGCAGGATCTGGCGTGCAGCCAGGGAGTTCTTTCTCCCTGCTTCCTGCCTCCCTTCCTGTGCAAGGACATGGGGAGAAGGAGTCCTGGGACTGCACACCAGCTCCAACTTCTCAGGAAGCGTGCGCGCTGTTCCTCCCCTCCCCATGATTCCTCCCCCTCCCCTGTGCAGGAAGGAAGGAAGGAAGCACGAGGAAGGAAGTTCTGCGGCTGCACTCCAGACCCGGCTTTTCAGGAAGCACGCCGGCTGTTTGGGGAGGGGAGGAGCAGTCCGCATGCTTTCTGAGGCACCAGACCTGGTGTGCAGCTGCTGGACTTCCTTCCCCTCTCCACCCACTGCAGGAATGGAGAACACTACCTCCATTTTCCCAGGAGGTAGCATCAGCGTGGGCTCCTTCTTGGGAGTGGGAAAGAATGGCAGGGGGGAGGGGGCTGGAATGCCTCGCGATCGACTGGTCATGCCCTGGCAATCAACCAGTCAATCGCAATTGATGGGTTGGTGACCACGACCATAAGTAGTTGAACTTGAAAGGTCCCTTGAAATGTGTGAAGTGGCCAGTTTAACTCCCTTGCAGTCATAGAGAGCTGAGGGACAAAATGGGGGAGGGATACTGTATTATAGATTGTTGTAATAAATCATAAATCCTGTGAGTCCACCGAATCTTTTGCTGTCTAACAGAGTACAGAACTTAAGCTCCCAAGCTCCTCTTTTGTAGATGTTGTGCAGGTTTCCTCTGAAGATGAGAATTGAAATGGGTGCCCTATGGCAGAGGGAGAGGCGGGGGTAGGAGCCGGAGTGCATGGGAGGAGCAGGTTTTTAATCCGGCTACCTGTGCTACAGAGGTGGCAGGGAGGGGGAGAGCCAGTGCTCAAGGGCAGCTGGTTTAAAAGCCAGCTCTCAATGAGCACCAGTCCTACAGAGCTGCCTTTCCTCCTCCTCTCCTGCCTCTGAATCAGAAACAGCAACATGAGGGAGGTGGGCAGGCGGGAACCGCTACATGTGGGGTGCCAGCTTCACTCCTCACACGTACCAACTCCTGCCGAGCTGACTACTCTCCCCCTTGCCTCTGAAACAGAGAGAGCAGGAGGTGGTGAATGGGAGCTGGTGCTTGTGGGGAGCTGGCTTAAAAGCCGGGTCCTGCCTCCCCCCATCCACTCTCATATGTAAACGTGGATCCGCTGAAAATTTCAGTGGATCTAAGTTTACACAAATAAATGCATTTTAACACACAAATAAATTTTGTCAAATTAAGTGTAAAAATAGAGTAAGAAAATCCAAAAATGTGTTTGAAGAACAGCTATCCAAAAACTCAAAAAGTAATACTAAATTTTTTTTTAAGTACATCAGAAGCAGAAAGACAGCTAAACCACCAGTGGGGCCCTTGGACGATTGAGATGCTAAAGGAGCTAGAGAAGCTAAATGAATTCTTTGTTTCAGTCTTCACGTTTGAGGATATTGGGGAGATGTCCAAACCTGAGCATTTTTTTAGGTGACAAATCTGAGGAATTGTCCCAGATTAAGGTGTCATTAGAAGAGGTTTTGGAACAAACTGATAAACTTAACAGTAACAAGTCACTGGGACCAGATGGCATTCACCCAAGAGTTCTGAAAGAACTCAAATGGGAAATTGCAGAACTATTAATTGTGGTTTGTAACCTATCCTTTAAATCAGCTTCCGTACCTAATGACCGGAAGATAGCTAACATCACACCAATATTTAAAAACAGCTCTAGAGGTGATCCTGCCAATTACAGACCAGTAAGTCTGATGTCAGTACCGGGCAAATTAGTTGAAACTACAGTAAAGAATAAATTTGTCAGACATATAGATGAATATAATTTGTTGAGGGAAAAGTCATCATGGTTTCTGTAAAGGGAAATCATGCCTTACTAATCTGCTAGAGTTCTTCGAGGGGGTCAACAAACAGGTAGACAAAGGGGATCCAGTGGATATAGTATACTTAGATTTCCAGAAAGCCTTTGAAAAGGTCATAAGGCACTTAAGTAAAGTAACTTGCCATGGGATAAGAGGGAAGGTCCTTTTGTGAATTGGAAACTGGTTAAAATACAGGAAACAAAGGGTAGGAATAAATGGTAAATTTTCAGAGTGGAGAGAGGTAAGTAGTGGGGTCCCCCAAGGGTCTATCCTGGGACCAATCCTATTCAACTTATTTATAAATGATCTCAAGAAAGGGGTAAACAGTGAGGTGGCAAAATTTGCAGATGATACCAAACTGCTCAAGATAGTTAAGACCAAAGCAGACTGTGAAGAGCTTCTAAAAGATCTCACCAAACTACATGATTGGGCAACAAAATGGCAAATGAAATTTAATGATGATAAATGTAAAGTAATGCACATTGGAAAAAATAATCCCAACTATATATACACAATATGATGGGGACTAATTCAGCTACAACTACTCAAGAGAGAGATCTTGGAGTCATTGTGGATAGTTTTCTGAAAACATCCATTCGGTGTGTAGCAACAGTCAAAAAAGCAAATAGAATGTTAAGAGTCATTAAAAAATGGATAGAGAATAAGGCAGAAAATATCGTATCGCTTCTATATAAAACCAAGGCACGCCCACATCTTGAATACTGCATACAGATGTGGTCACCTCATCTCAAAAAAGAGATATTGGCATTGGAAAAGGTTTGGAGAAGGGCAACAAAATGGTTAGGGGTTTGGAGTAGGTCCCATATGAAGAGAGATTAAACAGACTTGGACTTTTAAGCTTAGAAAAGAGGAGACTAAGGAGGGATATGACAGAGGTCTATAAAATCATGACTGGCATGGAAAAAGTGAATACGGAAAAGTTATTTACTTATTCCCAAAATAGAAGAACTAGGGAGTCACCAAATGAAATTAATAGGTAGCAGAGTTAAAACAAACAAAAGAAAGCTTTTCTTCACTCAGCATACAGTCAACCTGTGGAACTCCTTGCCAGAGGATGCAGTAAAGGCTAGAACTTTAATAGGGTTCAAAAAAGAGCTAGATAGATTCATGGAGGTTAGGTCTATTAATGGCTATTAGCCTGGATGGGTAGGAATGGTGTCCCTAGCCTCTGTTTCTCTGGAGGTGGGTGACAGGGGAGGCATCACGTGAGGATTACCTATTGTGATCCCTCCCTCTGGGGCATCTGGTATTGGCCACTGTCAGAAGACAGGATACTAGGCTAGATGGACCTTTGGTCTGACCCAGTATGGCCGTCCTTATGAGCTCTTACAGAAAATTTATAAAAGACAAACCACACCATCTACAGGTGAACTCTTCTTCACTCTAGATCCTCTCAGTCCTCATCTAGTGATGGCAAAAATTTAGTGAGCCATGAAATATCCCTACAAAATTAGAAGGATTCAACAACACAAAATAAAAAATCTTAATGGATTACAATGCCCACAAAATAGATATTA